GAATGGATGACTGAGGTACAAAATCAAATTATTTCTGATGCAAACAAACATTAGAAATTTCCATTTTCATCCCTTCTATTTGATGACTAGTTTGAAACTCGTCAACTAGCACTGGAAACACTGCTGCCCCTTGTCAGCTGTAAATCACTTGTAAAGTTCTTCAAATGGACAATAGTAAGACCCATATCATTCAATGGATGAGACACAAAATATTCTATGGTTAACTTCTGCTGGACTGCCAGGACCATGTTGCTTCCACTGCCGTTGCTGAGCTCATCTCCATATGTGGGAGTACAAAATTAGAGGATCACAGATGCAGGTTCCTGTCCCTGAGAGGGAGCTTGGAATGTTGGCCACACCTACTGCTGTTGCCACTGTACCCATGAGGCACTTGTGGCAGGTGGCTGTTGTGAGGGTTGTTGCTGTAATGGCATGTTACTGCCGCTACTGCTGGTACTACTAGTACTAGGGGGAGTTCCAGAAACATCATCTACTTGGGACACAGCCACTATTGAGCCATCGGACAGCTTCTGATACGGGTAGGGGAATGTATGAAATGTGGGGAATATGTGGCCATGAAAGGGTGCAGTAGCATATCCCACTGTGGGATAAACTGGTCTCTGCCCTGGATGCTGTAATGATGCTGTGGCTTTCTGCTGGGCCATCATCTGGTTGAGGGTCATCTTGCCCTGGGACGGCCGCTGTGCCTGTCGAGGGCCGCTCAGGTTCTGAACCAACTCTAACATATCCTCTGAGATTGTACGCCCTTTCTTTCCTGACGTTGTGCCACTACTGGAGGTATCCACAGAATGATCGGATGCAATGGCTGCATCACCATTAGCACCAACTGGGATATCACATTTCTCTGACTGCTTTGAGTCTGACTGGGAGTGTGGCGACGTTGGGGTCGTGCCTGGCGTGGGGGGGCCCGGAGACGAAGCCAGGCGTAGAGACTGAGGTCGTCTACTATTCTGGCTTCGTTGTAGGCGCTGGACTTTGTAGGCTTCCCGTTCTTGCTGGTGGCGACGTCGGAGCTCAGCTTCCTCGTGCTCTTGCCTAGTGATTAAGCAGAAAGATATGTTTGTAGAACATTGTTACTGGCTAAAAAGACAACATTCACATATCTGAGAAAAGCTGACAAACAGTAAAAAAAAAGAAAGAAAGAAAGAAGAAGAAAAAAAAGAAAGAAAGTTTATTCCACAATGTTAGTGATATCAAATGAGCACTAAATCATAAATAAAGAGAACAACTTGTATTTATTTACTTGTAAAGAAGCTGCTGAAAACTGTCATCATCTTCTGAGAAATCTTCCAGATCATGCCTCACCGTTTCCAGTTCTTCGTCCTCCTATTAAGTAAATTTACACTTTATAGTCACAATAAATAAAAATCTGCAATAGAATTTGATTAGTGTAGGTCTGCATAAGACTTTTCAAACCTACAGAAGTAGGCGTGTGTGTCTTCATGGTGAAGGGTGAAGTCTTCTTAAAGAATACTTATGAACCCCCTCTCCATGCCAAATAGAATTTCTTGTTTGTACATTCTACATGAAAGGAAACCTCTTAAAAGGATGTATGGATGTACTAATCTAAGAAAAGAATGACTAGCCTACTTGGAAAATCATAGACATGTCAGTCTTGAAAACACAAAATGACCCTTTTATTTAATTTCTTGATACATATGCCTTTGAGATATGTAACCTTGCATCTTGTCTACAGCAATAAAACAACACCAAGAAATTTCTAGTTACATTACTGAAAAGGGTATCTTTAATAGACTAAACAGTAACACAGTGTTTGGTGTTTCTACGGTCTTATCAGGCAAATAACAAGTGCCACAGAAAGATTATTTCTACTTGCACTATCAAAGTATATTTTTATGATGACAAGTTTTCTAATCTAAAACAAACTATACACTGTTTATCCCTTGTTCAATCTACAACCACTGAACAGAGAGGAGTGTTTCAACATGATTGATCAATTCACCTAAAAGATACATTTGTTCTCATACGTCATGGAACAGTAATATAATAAAAAAAAAGGATCACTATAGTAAACAATACATCTAGTCATATCTAAAAAGAACAGAATGGATGACTGAGGTACAAAATCAAATTATTTCTGATGCAAACAAACATTAGAAATTTCCATTTTCATCCCTTCTATTTGATGACTAGTTTGAAACTCGTCAACTAGCACTGGAAACACTGCTGCCCCTTGTCAGCTGTAAATCACTTGTAAAGTTCTTCAAATGGACAATAGTAAGACCCATATCATTCAATGGATGAGACACAAAATATTCTATGGTTAACTTCTGCTGGACTGCCAGGACCATGTTGCTTCCACTGCCGTTGCTGAGCTCATCTCCATATGTGGGAGTACAAAATTAGAGGATCACAGATGCAGGTTCCTGTCCCTGAGAGGGAGCTTGGAATGTTGGCCACACCTACTGCTGTTGCCACTGTACCCATGAGGCACTTGTGGCAGGTGGCTGTTGTGAGGGTTGTTGCTGTAATGGCATGTTACTGCCGCTACTGCTGGTACTACTAGTACTAGGGGGAGTTCCAGAAACATCATCTACTTGGGACACAGCCACTATTGAGCCATCGGACAGCTTCTGATACGGGTAGGGGAATGTATGAAATGTGGGGAATATGTGGCCATGAAAGGGTGCAGTAGCATATCCCACTGTGGGATAAACTGGTCTCTGCCCTGGATGCTGTAATGATGCTGTGGCTTTCTGCTGGGCCATCATCTGGTTGAGGGTCATCTTGCCCTGGGACGGCCGCTGTGCCTGTCGAGGGCCGCTCAGGTTCTGAACCAACTCTAACATATCCTCTGAGATTGTACGCCCTTTCTTTCCTGACGTTGTGCCACTACTGGAGGTATCCACAGAATGATCGGATGCAATGGCTGCATCACCATTAGCACCAACTGGGATATCACATTTCTCTGACTGCTTTGAGTCTGACTGGGAGTGTGGCGACGTTGGGGTCGTGCCTGGCGTGGGGGGGCCCGGAGACGAAGCCAGGCGTAGAGACTGAGGTCGTCTACTATTCTGGCTTCGTTGTAGGCGCTGGACTTTGTAGGCTTCCCGTTCTTGCTGGTGGCGACGTCGGAGCTCAGCTTCCTCGTGCTCTTGCCTAGTGATTAAGCAGAAAGATATGTTTGTAGAACATTGTTACTGGCTAAAAAGACAACATTCACATATCTGAGAAAAGCTGACAAACAGTAAAAAAAAAAAAAAAGAAAGAAAGAAGAAGAAAAAAAAGAAAGAAAGTTTATTCCACAATGTTAGTGATATCAAATGAGCACTAAATCATAAATAAAGAGAACAACTTGTATTTATTTACTTGTAAAGAAGCTGCTGAAAACTGTCATCATCTTCTGAGAAATCTTCCAGATCATGCCTCACCGTTTCCAGTTCTTCGTCCTCCTATTAAGTAAATTTACACTTTATAGTCACAATAAATAAAAATCTGCAATAGAATTTGATTAGTGTAGGTCTGCATAAGACTTTTCAAACCTACAGAAGTAGGCGTGTGTGTCTTCATGGTGAAGGGTGAAGTCTTCTTAAAGAATACTTATGAACCCCCTCTCCATGCCAAATAGAATTTCTTGTTTGTACATTCTACATGAAAGGAAACCTCTTAAAAGGATGTATGGATGTACTAATCTAAGAAAAGAATGACTAGCCTACTTGGAAAATCATAGACATGTCAGTCTTGAAAACACAAAATGACCCTTTTATTTAATTTCTTGATACATATGCCTTTGAGATATGTAACCTTGCATCTTGTCTACAGCAATAAAACAACACCAAGAAATTTCTAGTTACATTACTGAAAAGGGTATCTTTAATAGACTAAACAGTAACACAGTGTTTGGTGTTTCTACGGTCTTATCAGGCAAATAACAAGTGCCACAGAAAGATTATTTCTACTTGCACTATCAAAGTATTTTTATGATGACAAGTTTTCTAATCTAAAACAAACTCATAACTAGAACTAACTCATGTTCTTAATATGCAGTATTAAATAGTAATACTATAAAAATCTAGCAAGTAATATATGGTTTTTATATTTCTTAAAAAAAAAAAAAAAATCTACTTCAACTCCTATCTAGTAATACTCATGCACTATAAGACTTAAGTATAAGTTGGAAAAATCTCAAGTAACTAAACCTTTTTTTTCTTCTTTACATAATTAGGGTCAGTTTAAGTAATACTTAAAATGAATAAATACATCTGGTTACAAATGTTAGCACATTTTAGAATACAGCATATATTCACATGTTCCCTTTTCAAGAGAGAAAATAATCAAGACTACCTCCGAAATATAACACTTGAAAAAAATAGGATACACTGCTTTCTAATGACATCCACTAAAATCAACAATGGATCTATTGTGAAGAAAAATATATATACACCAGAGACTCTTTTTGTGATACTGTTAACACTGACATACATCTCTGCTGTTCTTTTTTTTTTTTTTTTTACATAATGTTGAGGATGAAAATATTTACATAAATCACTGCAAACTTCAATGGCAGTCTTCCAAAGTAATGATAAAAGCCATGGAGAAGTCAGTATAGTATAGCAATATAGCAGAAAACACCCCCTCATTTTGCAAGACTTTATTTCACAGACTCAAGGAGATCTCTGTAAGTTGTTAGGTATTCCTGGCAAACTTACAATACTTGGGC